ACACACACACACAAGCAAACACTCCCACATCTCTCTTGTTATCGGCCTCAAGGTTACTCTCTTCACATGTCGAAAATATTGTACAACTTGCAGAATTGGTGTTTTTTGGTATAGAGTTATTTCTCCCACCGTTTATTGTTATATTCTCTTTGTGTTTGCTGAAGTACCTTTCTGTTTCATAAATATTTTCCCTCTTCTGTTTTATTTTTTTTTTTTCTTGTATAATCCTCATATCTCTTTCCTAGTCACCTTTATATTATGGATCAAAAAACAATAATAAGAAATAATTTATTTTACTTAGGTTTTAATTTATGTTGCAATGCTATTATTTCTTCATATTCATTTTTTTTTCCCATTTTTTCACTTTCAAATATCTGCTTTTTTTTGGTCAGTTTTAGCCTCTGTTGTAAAACAAATTTTCACTATTACATGATTATAATCAAATTCTCCATGTAGAATGTGTGTTTAATGTGCAGGTAGGGTTTTGCACTGTGTTAGATCACCTTGAGAATTCAATTACATCTCCACTACATGTCGTTAAAAAGCACAGACACGGACACACACACAGTCATTCAGGTGCCCTGTCTAGTACTGCAGACTCTGGTGTGGAGAAATTTCACCCTATGGGATCGATCTCTGGATAGGCGTTATTGGATTTCTCAGATGTGTTCCAACGTTCTTAAAGGTCACCACTAAAATGAATGCCAACAACACCAGACAACCAAACAAGTCTTTTTTCATGTGTTGCTGTGGGTGTAGGTATGTATGTAAGACCCAAATTAAGAGCGACACCATATGGGAAACAGGTGGTTAAGTTGATAACGTCTAGATCGTTGCTTAAGTGTGTTTAAAAAACTTAATTCAAAGGCTGAATTAGATATCTAAGTGGACAAGCATTGGGTAAACAAACACAACAGTTTGGATCTTTTGAAGTGGACAAGACCAAGACAATTTCATAGATTTTTCTTTTTTTAAGACTAAGCATACATTTTCATTTCTTTTTCTATGTTCATAAATATGATAAACTGTGTTTTAAACATCTTAAATCAGCATATGATCATTCTGTCCAGATCTGGATGGACCGTGTACTGAGATTTATTAAATAAGGTAGAAACTAAACAACTTGTTTTGCCATGCAAAGTGCTTCCTGTAGGGACTCCCCCCACTTGTTACCTCTCTGCCCCTTTCCTTTCTGATTACTGTCAATAAAGGTCACCAGTTCCAAAAAACATTATTGAAGAAAAGCTTTGAAAGTGACTTCTTTTTTCAACAAAGAAAAAAACCTTTTTTTCAGATTAAAATACTTTTATTTTCCTTATTATTATCAATTGATTTTACTTTCCTTTCCAACACAGATTTTTACCCTTTAAGCATCCAGCTTTATATCTGGGGCTCAGAATAACCTGTTCCAAACAGCAACTAGATCACTAGACCATAATGTAAATAAGAAACGGCCTGAATATACAAAGTGATTTTCCTTAGTCATTCTGACGACTCTATAGCAAATATATATTAATTAATTATCTATCAATGAGAGGTTAAGCTGTCTGAGCCGATTAGATAAAGCATATGGACCCTTAGCTAAACCTTTGGTTGTCAAGCTCTGCAGCTAAATATAGAATCAGACAACTAACAGTACATTCTGGGTTTGACCAAAGTGGAAAAAAAAGTTCAGTTTTGTTGTCACATTAGATGATACAGGATAAAAAGCACATTACTGTTCAGTTTTTTTAATATCTATTTTAGAAGTGTTTTTCAAATAGCTTACCGGGTTGCCCTTGCCATTGTGGTTACGTGAATATGGATAGAAGGCACCCAGCTGCATCCACCGAAGACACAACTCATATTCAGATGGGTTAAAGAATCCACATATGTCCGCACCAGTCTACAAACAACAAAATGAACAGAAAATGCATCAGAGAGCAGTTTTAACCTCACAGAGTACCTTGCAATGATAACAATAGAGATCACTTCTCTTTTGTTGCCAGCAATGTGTTTTTTGAGTGTATTTACATGTTTTGACCTTATTGCTAAACCAGGAGCATGCAAATGATTCTCCATTAAAATGGTCAATACCATGTCAGATTACGATTATTCCTAGACACATTGAGATGATGAGATGGGACAGAATAATACATGAGGAAGAGGCAGGAACAGAAACAAATAAAACAAGGTCAAAAGGGTGAAAGAGCAGAGTCAAAGCATCTCCACACGAGTTTGAAAGCGTAAGTTACTTCATGCTCAATTGATAACAGACTTTATTGACTATGACAGACTTGCTCAAACTCTTGCAGATGGGGTAGGGTTTATAATGACAGGTTTCAAATATTATTTAGAGATGTCCTTTGATCAGTAGGTCGAGCAAACAAAATCAGATCACTTAAGCTGCTGTAATCCATTTAGAAAGAACAAGGTCAGATCAATAAGATTATGTCTGGTCATAGCTAAGATCAGATATTGATACTTACGTAAGGAATGCCAAACAGACTGAATTCCATCATGCCTGCAGGAAAATAGGAGATGCTTTATCTAGCTTCTGCATGGTCCTGATACAGTCAGATTAAAGGCTACCAACTGCAATCAGCTATTATGGACAAGAAGCTACAGCTTATACAGTCTGGATCTGGACATACCTATGATGGATTTGTATAACTGATCCCAGCTGGCGTTGTTGTCTCCCAGCCAATGTCCTGCCCATTGCCCACTGGTTGGGTAGGTAGACCTTGTCACAACTATTCCTCTTTTACCAGTCACACTAAGCAACGCACTGCATAAAGAAAGAATATTTGAAAGAAAAAAAAAGATATCAGTGGAATAGTATGTTCCTTAATTCATAACAATGATACATTTAATGTAATACACTGATGAATATTTGTATTTGAAATATTGAGTCACAAGAAATTAATCAGTCCCTAAGTTACAGTTGATGCCCTCAGTGCCTGAGAAAAAACATTTTATTTCTGATTAAGTTTCTACACTTTTTAGAGCAGATACCACTGAGTAAATACCATAATGAAATGTAATTGTACCATAATGAAATAATTGTTTTTCCTGATACTACTTATTTATTCACTGTATCACAGGAAGAAAGAAAAAAAAAATGCTGAAAATTTACATTGCTTTGCATATTTCAAGTTTTTCTTTTTTTTTTTTTCTCTTTGAGTATTGAGTTGAAGTCAGACATCCAGAAGAAAAACCCCTAAACTCCAAGTCCAAAATAGCTGTCATGGAATCAAAACATAACAGCTCTAATAAACAGTTTGTTCAAACCTCTTGTGGTTCCTAATCATAAAAAGGTAAATCTTAAAAAAAAAATATATATATAGGCTATATATATTTTTCAATTCATGAAATGTTTTAAAGGGAGAGAGAGAGATACAAAATTGACTAGCATTCCTCTCATTATTTAGCTTGGTTAGGGCCCTGTCGCACCTTGGCGAATTTTTGGTGTATATATAGCGTATTCATAATGAGTCCAGAGTGAATGTCTAACGACAGCCTTACTTATGCATAACGCACGGCAGCGTAATGCCCATGAAATGTCACAAGAAAGTGTCCTGATGTGAGCAGTGATGCGCTCTGAGTCACCTGGTCTGCATAAAAAGATTTCTTTGATTGTGGTATTAACCTAGCTGCTGTTTACCACCCGCCAAAAAGAAAATAAATAAAAGAAAGAATAAGAATGTTTGCAATCAGAGCAGATTAAGCGTCATATTTGCAAGGAAGTATGTTGGTCATGGCCATTGGCTTGAGTGCAGGGAAGATCCATCACACTCACCTTAACGCTCACCCTATGATGGGGAGGAAGTCTGGAGAGAACTGATGGTTTCCTCCTGTGAACCTCCTTTTATGACAAAACTCTGCCAATATGCCATTAACCAGTTGCTGTACGTTGGAAACATGTTCAGCGGTCGTCTGGAACACGTCAAATATGTTGATATGCATTGAAAATAAGTTCTTGATAT